TAGGGAAACCAGTTTATTGGCATAATTCTAAAGAAAGGAACAATTTTGTTTCTTTCACAACAGGCTTGAAAGCCTACCCAGATGAGCTCATACCTGTTCGTAAATTTCACACCATTCTTCTGCGTATCAACTATTCCATATTTCGAATTGTTACGGAGAACTTTTTCCTCCTTGCAAGTTATTCGAAAGTGATGTCCAAACTGTGAATTGGTCTCCAGTTTGATACTTTTGCCAGCCTCCAAACCTTTTAGATGAAAAGAAAAAAGAAAACAACAGTATTATCAAAAATCCTGCAGCCTGTGCTATTTCTGCTCACTAAGGCCCAGTTTGTATGATGTAGCCTCTCTAGGATATGCTAATCAGTATACTTGCTTTGGTTCTGTACAGGTATGAGAAATATCCAGACCTTACAGAAGTTTACTGATTCATTCTCTGCTGTTACTTCAATATGCTCTCAAACTGCATATTCAAATCAGGTTCACAATTACTGTATTGCTAGATATTCTCCAGAAATGTGAAAAATCTTCATAGCACACTGCAAGGATATCCTGCGCTTCTGTTGTAAGCACAGCACCCGTAGTTTTGTGATCCTTTTACTAACACATACTTCCACTGGTGAGATTTCTCATTCCATCCCCACACAATCTCGTCTTTCCTTCTTTTCATCCAGGTGTCTTGTTTATACTGAAAAAAAATCTAGACTAAAAAATATGCAAGCCCTTAAAGGTGTAACCTAAAATAACTATGGTATTGCCAGTTTTCCTTGCCATATTTGCAATAAAAATTGACTTTTTTTTTTTTTTAAAGTTGATTTTTGAATGCCCGGTTCATCAGCTGCACATGGAATTTTTTGCATAGGATAACCAATTCTTTAAATGTTTCATTTACTTACACATTACATTTTACAAAGAACTTCAAAAGAAAATCACCATGTCCTGAATGGACACTCAGGAAAATGCACAGGGCTGGGGAGGAAGTTCCAATGCACATCCTCATAGGATATAATGTATATCCTCAAAGGATAAAATAGAACTAGGCTTAGCGAAGAGTTACATGAGTCACAGTTCTACAAAATTAATTCTGCAGTATCTTGCAACATACATGATAAATTTCTGAAATATTCTGCAATGCTATCCTTAAAAAAAAAAAAAAGGCCAAGTTCCAAACCAAAAATCACTGTTTTCAACAGATTGTACTGTGACAACTAAAGTCATCTCAAACTAATAATAAAGTAACACAAACATCCCTTAACTCCTTTATACCAGTTCTCATCACTTTATCTCAAAACATTTTACAAAGGAGGTAAGAATCAAAGGCAGTTTCATACCCTACCTAGTTCTTTGGCTGCACTCTTTAAAAAGGACTGCATTTTTTCTTCCAGTTCATTCATTTTCTCTCTCAATTCTGTCAAATTAGGATCAAAAGAAGCCTTGACAAGAAATTCATGGTTCTCCACCTAGGGAAAAATAACAAGAAAAAATTCATATTAATATAGGTAGTAAAAAAAAAGAATCACTTCCCTGATCATACATGGTGAAATGAATTTACTTAATTTATTCAATTTATTTTTTATATATATAATTTTGTAATGCAATGCTGTTTGGTGTCCAATTCAACTATACACCAAATACATCTCAAACACTTGTTTTCTCAAATAATACACTTTATATAAGCAAAATATACCAATTTAAGAGACTACTTTGAAATGGAGTTGTCTGCACATTTATTTGCATACAAATAACTGAGCAGTAAGCAGGAAAAAAAGGGAAGTCGGAGGAAATTGAATTCTTATCTACATAATCTGTATGCTAGCCTGGACTTATGCAGCTAATCAAGACAGAGTGTAAAAGGATGGGGCATTTCAAAACAAGAAATCTTTGGAAACACAGAAGTTTCTAAAATAGTAATTCCTGCCCAAAACACACTCAAGAGGTTATGGAAGGAGCCCACATAATATTACCAAAAATCCTACCCAATTTCAACCCAGTTATTTTGAGTTGAAAAGCATGCACACTTCCTTCCAAGCTAAACATTTTCAGAGGCACAGATGAAGCAAGTTGTATTTCATCTTTTTGTTCTCTTCCCCATACTGCCACTGCCAGGTGTGTATTTCTGATGACCTTACAAGCCTCAAGTTTTATTCGCAAGCACAACTTGTAACTGCTAAATACAAGAAACTAGATTTTTAATATACAAACTTTTACAATCAACAAAATATTAGCACTGTTGTCCAACATGGAAACTAAGCACTGGCTTTCGTATTAGTAATACATTTAATCTAATTAAGTTAAAAAACAAACGCAAACAAACAAAAACCCACATCACTTTCCTGAAGCTACCCCTAGCTGGGAATTATCTGCAAAGTTGTACATAAAGCAGCTGCAAATATTTAGCAAAACACACCAAAGGAAGATGGGGGTTTACATACAGTTTCACTTTTACCCCCAAGTATATGTTAGCAAGAGGAGGAAGGAGAAGAGGAAAGGGAGGTTCACAGTTCCTTTACTCCTTCCCAGACACTAAAAGCATCACTCCAGAAAGCGCCGGGAACAGGAACTATACAACTGCAAGAACCACCACATACATCTTGTTCTGTTAAGCACAAGAAGCACTTCAAATCTGCAGTGCATCAAAACATTTGTAAAAGCATTAGACCAAAGACTCCCAGGTTTTGCAGCAACTTGGAACAAAGACCTGGGAATGCAATCTTGGAGATGAAAGCCACAGGGCTTATGCATTTTGAATTTGCAATGGAGGGACAAGTAAACTATCATATGAAGAGACTGCACAGCATACTATATATTTGAAGGATTGCTACTTTATTCTGAGAATGATCTTCTCCCAATGGATAATCTGACCTTCCACAGAAGTTGCATCATGGAAAACTGAACCATTGGTGCTTATTCCCTCCCTGCAATTACCAGCACTGCAAGGCATTACACTCAACCTGCCATTTTGGTTCCAGTTGTGTTGTTTGCAAACACACTGCAGTGGCAAACTTCTCCAGTTGCTTAACCACAGATGTGGACTTCACAAAATAATGAATTACCAGATTTTAGAGGACAGTCTTGAAACCTGGAGGCGTGAAGAAAGGGGTATGAACAAATTCACTCCCTCTTACATCCCTGTTGATAGGCCTGCTCCTCCCATTCCCTCAATAATTCTGCTAAAAGAACAGCAATCAACATTTATGACAGAGCATACAGCACAAAAGGCTTTGTGGGGCAGATCCTGGATCTGAAACAGAAACTGGGAAGGCTGGGATGCAAACGCCACACATGCCAGCTCTTGTCATGACTGGCTTCATGCAGCAACCAAAGTTGACAGACAAGTGAAAACTAATTTTGTTTTACAGTTTCAAAGCATTATTTGAAGCCTGGAACAAACTGCAGAAGTCCCATAACCTCAGGAGAGGGAAGGTAAGGTTCCCAAGGACCCATGACACTCCGGGTAGCCCCAGCAGGCACCCAGCCTGGCTGTCGGTTCCAGCCTTCACCCAGACTGCCATGTCAGAGAGGCTGACCAGAACTAAAGCTGTGCCCTGCACTTCCACCCTTCAGGGCCTCCTTGCTGCAGACAAGCTCTCATTTCACTGCAAGCAAAGATCCACGCACAGCTAGAGCTTGTAACATGCAAAAAAAGCTATGTTACTGCCTCATCCACTGCTGAGTCCAGCTGTCATGGGGATGGAGTTAGTTTTCATGTGCTTGCTGCTAATTCCACTACAGCTCTAACAAACCTGCTGAAATGAACTCATAGGCTGCTAGTGTGGAAGAAATAAATCCTAAACTGCTGTGAAGTTTCAGGACAGGAGCATTACAGTAAAATTACTTGAGCTTCCGTTTACATTAATAGACTGCAGCAGTTCAAGAACCAGTTCGCAGCAGACCAGGCACTCCAGCACCAGGGTAAGTTCCCAGTGGCTTCTCCAGGTGTAGATACCAAGTCTTTAGGACATCTGGCAGCCTATATTCCCATTATCCCAGCCTGAAAATCTGAATTTAAAAATGTGTAAGATCACAGTTTGAAGACAGCTTCTAATATATTATAGTATCCACCCCAACTATTATAGGGCAGCTCTTCCCTCATTCAGCCCTCATGAAGTAACCCCTAGCAGGCGACAAACACAACTGACTGCTCCATCTGACCACACTCGCCAAGTGAAAGCCAAGTGCAATCAAGTAAATAGAAAACATTTTTAAATTAAATTAAAAGTTCAGCCAAACTGCTAAGGAAGTAAAATTATTATGGTTTACTAAAAACATTAAAAACTTGTGCTATTAATTAATAAATAAAAATATCAGGCACTCACAAACATATTGCCCTCTAATGTTCTTCTCAAGTTGTGTTGCTCCTACAGCAGTATCTCAGATATAATTAGGTAAGTCACTTAAAGCAAACTTTTGCTTTTCTCTTCCACAGCCCTCAGTATGAACATAGAATCACAGAATCGTTATGGTTGGAAGAGACCTCAAAGATCAAGTCCAACCTTCTACCCAACATCACCATGCCCACTAAACCATGTCTCGAAGCGCCACATCTAAACATTTTTTGAACACCTCCAGGGATGGTGACTCCACCACCTCCCTGGGGAGCCCGTTCCAATGCCTAAAGACTCTTACAGTGAAGAAGTTCTTCCGAATATCCAACCTGAACCTCCACTGGCACAACTGTAACTGTGCCAGTGACTGTAAACATGGCCAACAATGTGGCAGGACAAGCATTAACAGGAACGTGGTATTTGAGTTCTTGGTGGTTTGTACCTAATGAATCTACCATCAGTTATGGTCCCGTAAGGCTACACCTCACCAGAAAAATGGAAGGAAATACCAGTGAACCCAACTGACTCCCCTCTGATCTCCCCAAAAGAGGAATAAAAATACTCATCATCATTGTGATATTTCACCAATATATTGATCACTGAAATGCACTACAGTCTAAATTACAACTCTGCACTGCACTAAATACAAATGTAACATTTGCTTCAAAGATTAAGGAATGCAACAGACATGTGCAACAGATTTGTCTGAACACCCTAGCTCCCACCTTTGCTCTATATATCATCTTTTACTGGCAAGAGTCATGCAAAGGGTTATAATGAAAGCAAATCCCTTAACACAATATGGATAAGAAGCAGCTAGACATTCCCTTTTGTTCTACTAAACACACAAGTGTTTTTTTTTTTTAGTTTAAGTTTTTGCTCAGAGCTACTCTGAAATGAATGTTCAAAGTATAAAATATTTAACATGGTAAGTAGCAGACTAATATTACAGCACTGACGACACTTTCATATCTGTCTATGTTAACTTACATGAAATAAGACCCAAGTGAGTCACATTTCCAAGGGGTGCTCAAATCAATGAGGTGACAGCAAATAATCTTCAGGCTCTGGGACTATGTTGAGCTAGCTAGCTAATCTGAAAAACCTGTCCTTCTGTAAAGGGCTGTGCTCCTAATACTCACACCAAAATCCAAAATACCATATACTGAAAGTGCTAACAAACTTCGAAGTTGCCCTGACTTGAGGAGGAGGTTGGAGTAGATGGCTTTTCAAAGGTCCCTTACGATTCTGTGAAAGACAGGAATGGAAATGACAGTTTCTCAATTTTTATTACAGCTAGGTAAATGAATACCCACGTCCCACTCTTTTTGAACTTAGATGTTTCTTTTTATATTAGAACGGATTATTGACATAATTTAGTTGCTATGACAACCTGTCCTTCAATCAAACTCAGAAGAGAGCTGGGGTATTTTGTTTGAACTCCCTAAAAATGTAAGAGGAATGTAAAGTCAAAGTTCAAGTTTCAACATTCACACGGACAAGGTTTATTCTTCTGGTAAAACCGGTGTTGGCTTATCTATAATGGCTTATCTATAGCCATTTTCCAGTATCTTGAAGGGGAAAAAACCCAAATCTGACACACCGGATTCTTGATTAAAAATAACCGACTTGTTAGTCTGTTTAGAAGGACAACAAAAAAATTTTTAAGTAGAAGCTGAAAAGAAATTTGAAGAGCTGGACTACGAAGGGTGAAGGCTTAGAACAGGTGTTAGTTTTAAAGAAAACAGAGTCCCAGGGCATATAAACTGCATCAACAGATGGTCTGTAACTAGTCTAAAGCTATAAATTTCTTCATTAGCATATATCACAAATTACAGCAACATGTCAATCAAACAGTCTTTCCTTAAACAGTAAAACGCAGTCGATGAATGCACACACAATACAAAGAGATAAAATGCAGTGCTTCTGCCTTTGGAGAAAAATATGCACATTCAAAATTTTAAAGCCATTGCAGTTTTCAAAAGTTCAACACCTTGCCATAGTACCCCAGTACACAGGTAGATCTCATATTTCTACAGTCAGCCGAGATCGACACTTACGAAATCCTAAAAGCCTCCCAAGTTTTCCAAAATGACTGAAACATCTTATTGAGAAAGGAACATTAAATAAATTTCTAACCAAGCACGTACATTTCAAAACGCATCTTACCAATTCTCTAACAAATATAATGGGAAAAAAGGATGTACCAAACTCACTAAAAACCTTGGCATTGTTTTACTCAGTTAAGCAACAGTTCGTGTTTTTGCCTGTGTCCTAAGCGTTCAGTGTTAGAAAATGACAAATCAGTCATTTATACTCAACTCTTCTCCTTTCTGCTACCGATTCAAGGAACAGGAATGTTCCTTCCAGCTTTCTTTGGCCAATTTTTCCTCTGAAATAAAATGTCAGTTTTTCCTTGCAAGCATAGTCCTATCATCAGTAATATTTTATAAGCAAATGTAGATGCAAGGCTAAGAAAATTGTAGTAGCATTCCCTCTAGTGAGAAATGTCTTTACAATGGAAAGTAAAGTCACTCTTTACACCTAGACCAACTGTTTTTCACAGAAGCAAACTGTTAGTTATGAAGTCTTAATCCCATCATATAGAACGAAGTCTACTGAACTTTATAGAAGTAGAGAAATATGTAATAAACATATTCTGGCTACATTCTAGTTTTGAGACATATCACAGTAATTTTGAAAATATGAAGAAGCAGAAAAGTGACAAAATAACTTCTCCACTTTTAATATTGATGAAGTTTTTTAAAAAATAGTTTCAGGTCCACAGCATCCATGTACCCAAAGCATTTTTTCATTGACTAGATAATTTCAGACAGTGGGTGAATAACCTCTTGATATTCAACTGCTATACTAATTAACAGCTTTCATACATTCCACAGCTAAACTATTACTAACTACTTAATATAAATGATCAATTAAATGTAGTGAGCGTAGAGAAGATTGCAAAGTTCAATAACAAACTTTAATTGCTAAGTAAACCCCCTCCCACACACCAGTCCATACCTTATCCATGTCCAATGTTGTTTCTATCATCTCCAGAAACTTTGAGAAGTCAGAGTAGATATCATTAAGAGGCGTTATAAACACTGCCAACAACAACATCTGGTGAGCTCCTGTTAAGAACGAACACAAAAAATTATCATTCACAAAACCCCACAACTTTACCAGAATTCACTTATCCAAGATAAACTGCACAACTATACAGCCGGTTAATTATTAAGATTGGTTACGATTATTTCACTGACACATGCATATCTTCTTCTAAAATTGGCATTGTCCAATTTATATTCTGATTAAGCTTGCACCTATTCTGCCATCTTTGTTCATATCTGGTGGGATTAATTCCCTTCTACTATGAGTAAAACTACAGACAAACAACAGTTTGAAAGCAAACCTGCTGTCTGAACATTACCTATTCTTGCACATAAAAAGTTGAAATGGCCTTAGTAAGAAGTGTGTTCTACAGTAACCAATTGTAGACACAAAGTAGAAGCCTCATCATCCACACTCAAGAGTTTTTAATTTCTCTTAATTCAAAATTACCAAAAATTGGGAATATTTGGTAGGTTACAGTATGGACATCAATAGATATTGTGGTGTATGGTTTTTTGGTTTTGTTTTCCTTAAAAAGGACCAGCTACTCTAACCAGATCTTCATAGTCACTGATCTTTCCACTAAACAGAAAGTCACCAAAATTAAATCAGTCTTTTCCAACATACTTTGTTAGCACCGATACTCTATAGCACCAAGTATAACTGCATAGTGCATATATTGGTTGGAAGTCCACAGAACACTGTAAGCAAACGCAAAATGCAGTTCACAGTTAACTTAGCATGCACAGATATCGCCAATTTTGTGAAAGAAGTATTTCCTTCAGGTCTACAAATAAGCACCTATCCAGCAGTCAGCTGTGAAAACTCTTTGTCAGTAAACGAGCGTTTGCATCTTTGCAGCCACTTCAAGTTATGATTTAATCACAGAGACATTAGCATTATTGACTATATGATTTACACAAAATGCCTCAAAAAGAATCCAATACTATGAGCTTATAGTCATTGCATTATGTACAGAATTACGATATTTGCTTCCGTTGTTTGCAGGCAAGGCTTTGCACTTTAACAGAGAAACACAGAATTAAGCTCCGGCTAGTCCAGAGCCTCTCAATTTCTTACCAAACTAGGGAAAAAGTCCTAATCTTTCCTAAGAAAAATTTCTTGTAAAAGTTACACAGTGAGGACATGATTACCCAAGGGAATCTCTCTTCCCTCTCAGCATTGTAATTCATGTAGAAAGAAAAAGGTTGGTTTGTTTCCTTTTCCTCCTATGCCTTTTTTCTTCCTCACTCCCCCAAGCTTTTAAGTTAAAGCTCTTATCTGATTAGTATCAATTAAGAGAGAGGAAAAAAAAATCACAAGTTATTGAGAGATCACTGAACTTGTAAAAATGGAGCCTTCTGCTGATTAAAAATCTTCAAAACTAAGAGAGATCTGAAATAAAGAGATTTTATCTCAAATCTCTTGCTTGCTCTCTGCAACATTTTTTTTTCCCCCCTCCTGTAAGAAGACACATACAAACCAACCTAGGAAATAAAAGGAGGCAGTAAAGAAGGAAGAGACTGAAGAGCAGAAAAGAAGTTTCACATCCATTTTTCAGATTGGACTCAGCAGTTCCCAGTGCACCAGCTGACAGAATGCATGGCACACATGATGAAATTACCTTCAATTCTTATTGAATTTCAATTGAAATTAATTCAATTCTTGAATTAATGAAAAATGATTGTGCTTGAACTTAAAGTAGCAATTACAATTTGTTTTCTTGAAAGGAGTAAGTAGGAAAGTTTCACGACACCATTTCATTATTCAAGTTTGGAGAGTACATCTTCAGACACCACAGGAAGATGTCAAATTCGAAAATCAGAAAATCTTAATTTATTTAGTAAATAAAATACTAATGCCTTTACATCTATTTCTGATACGGTTCAAACTGATACATTGCAAAATTGATCTACACTTTCAATCCAACTTCACATTCAGTATCGAACACTTGAAGAAAGGAAAATAGTGGAGTCAGCGAACACTGAGGATTTATAAAAGTGGTATGTGTATGCTTTTCTTAAAAGCATAACACTTGGCATTAAGAGAATATAAGTAGGAAACACCATTGAAAAATTCTAAATTAAACTCCAACTTGTCTTGCACCTGCATTCCTAAACTGATATAAAAGATGCACGGTAAAAAAAACCACTTTTGCACCTACTGAACATGATTAGCATGTAAGCTAATTGTTGAGAGAAATAATAATAGATCTATGTACCATCAAAAGCAGAGATGCATATTGACCACAAAGTCTATTTGCTCCTAGGTACATAAAACTATAATTTACTTACTGAAGAACAAATGAAGTGTTTATTACCTGCATTAAAGACTTTACTATTAATGCGGTTTAAAACATTGCATACAAATTAAAATCAAACTCTAATCTTCAAACTTGAAACATTTATATAGTTAAGTTTGGCAGCAAACAGAAGTATGAAAACTGACATTATCCAGGGAAAAGAGACAAATCCCAACTATGCACTTAAAGCAGTGTCCATTTTGATGGTACAAAAGGTCTCAGAAAAAATGACGAGGAAAGAAAAAGGAGCAAAACGGAAACTGGGATAAAATATAATACGAGTTTACTAGAGGTGGATCATACCTGTATAGGACAATATCTGTCTGAAGTAACTGACTGCCTAAGACAAAGGGAAATCTGTAGACCTAATCTGGGCTCTTCTAAAGCATTCAATATGGTGTCACATGGGATACTAACATGCAAGATTCATGATTAATACAATGAGCAAAAGGCAGACAGAGAGGATATCACAGACTTGCAAAAGATGAATTAGCTGGAAGGACACCAGCAATACAGTTCCTCCAGGGCTCATGCAAGCATTTATCTTTTTAAGATGTGTGAATTAATAATATTAATGCACAAAAGAAGGCTGCTTATAAAATTCACTAATATATACAATGTGGAAGATATCAGTAGGTGATACTGGAACAACATAAATCAGGAACATAACTAACTGACCTTGACAACTGGACTAATAGAAATGAAGTAAAATTTAACAGTAAGACGACGCATTGATAGATAAACAAATTTCCACTATGAGTAGGGGAATAATCAGCTGGAAATGATAATGGATGGGAAACAGCCAAGTTCAATCACAACATGGTTATAACGCACCAGTGCAACAGTCATGGAAAGAACAGTACTGTAACATACAACAAGAGGTATTTTGAAAAGCAGTAAGGGGGTGTTCAAGCCACTGTATACAGCCTGGTAAAAATACACCTGGAACCCAGCATACAATTCCTGTATCCTGCATATTTACAGGCTTAAAATAAAGAGTGTCAGCCTGAGACGGGAAGAAAGATGCTTCAGCAACTTCTGGAAGACAGGCATCTTGTAAGTACCTAGATTTTATGCCCTGGCAATTTGAGTAACGAACAACTGCTCCCTTTTGCCAGCAATAGCAAAATGATTTCATGACTCAGAGGCCTTTCCTGTCTTATGCAGGTTTCTTATGTGCAAAAAATAAAAGTCATCTTCACTCATTACCCCCCTCCTCAGTTTTCATCATCCATAAAAACAAGCATCTCAACAAAGCAATGCTTCATACTGAGGGAAAGGCAATCACTGCTGAGCACTTCATGGTGTAGTTGCTCTGCCTCCCCAGAGTCATTCACCAGAAAAGAAAGTTTTGAGACTGGCAGATATTCAGAATTGTCAAAGATCTTTCTGACTTTCCATCTCTTGATGAGTTAAAAGATTTTATACAGTCTTAAAACAGGAAAATGATCAGATTCAGTCTCAATCAGTCACATACATTCATAATTACCAGATCATACTTGTACTATAAACAAGGGTATACAAGTACAAATAAAAATAAAAATAACACATTTCACCTATTTTAAATTATCTTAGCTATACTGCTGATGAATGCCCTACTAAGGCCGACTGATTCACATGTAAAACAGCAAGAACCTTTTGCAGTCTATTAATTTCCATATGGCAAGCTTAGCAGTTTGCCTTACACAGCTTGCTCCTCAAAACTTCTAAAAATGGAATTGTTTTCCTACCCCAATGTTATGACAGAGAAACTCTGTTGATCCAAATGACAACTAATAGAAAAAGAAGTAAAGACAGGAAGCGAGCATTTTAAACTAATACCTCAGTTTAAGATGGAAATCCAAGAGCTCCATGCCAAGGCAAAACCAAGCTTTTTTTAAAAAAAAAAAAAAGTTGTATCTCCCAGTTTCTTCCCAGTTTTCGATCTTAACTGTTTTTGGAAATAACACAGCCAGCAACCAAGAATTAATTTATTTTAAGATTAATATTTTAGAAGATAAGTTTCAGTACTTGAAGTCATAAAACTATAGTACAGAAAATGATAAGATACAGCGTAATATTACCGTCTACTCAAATTCAGGAAAGAAATTTTTGTAACCACACCATTTCAAAAAATACTTCTCTTTAAGGCTTTAGCACTTGCTTTATGCAAAGAGATTTTCAAACAAATTAATGGGCTTCTACAAAAATATGCTTTCTGACAGGCTAGGACTGCTGTTGCTGTACTGAATCACCCCTCTGTTATGCTGATACTACGTTATTCTGCATTTTCTTGGTAACACATAGAAAAGGAAAAGAAATAGCAACCTTTGAATTTTCTAGATTTGCTTGTCATAGCACTGAACTTCCCACTAATGAAGATCAGAAGAAACCCTGCCACATTACTCTTACCAAAAACAGGAGCATTGTGATTTAAAAAAAAGCCATTCAAATTATATTGATAATGCTTAAACTGGTTTGTGTTTAATTACAAGCCAAAGTGCAAAGCGAGTTCAAAAGGAACACAATATTGTACGAATGGTGTCTTGTTTGTAAGATCGTAATACACACACAAGAATTCTTAGAGACAAGCTTATGTCAAAGACCAGACCATGACCCAACAGCTGAAGTATTTCAGCTACACACTAACAGGAATGCTTTTTCATGTAAAGATTTGGCTACATTTATTTCTAAGTACCTGACTGGCATTTAAAAATTTCAGCTTATTTCAAAATCAAAAGTCTCTACACTTTATTCCTCCAACAAAAGTACACAGGAAATAAGTAATCTTTGGAAATTTACACACTATTTCTTTGCATCATCAGCGTATTATAAAACATTGAAAATAGATGGGGGTAGCATTCATTACCTTCATGTTTTTCTAGTGCGTGTACAACATTAGGCAGTTGATTAATAGCCTGATACATTCGGTAACAGTCCTGTAAGTTTGCTGCTTGTCTCTGAAATTTCTTTGCCAGCCGGTTAAGATCTGGGAAGCGACGCAAGAGATCTTCTTGAAGGCACTGACGTAGTTCTGGATCCACCACAAAAGCTTCAACCAAATTCAACCTAAATAAGAAGTTCATAACAATGAGTAGCATGGCACAGTCTACAATTCTTTTATGTCACTAATTAGAAAGAAAACATTTATCTGGCAGTTTCTATCTATCCTTTCTCTATGGCTGTATCCATTGGCCAACTTCCCTGATAAAAGAACAAATGAAACTAGGACACCACATGAGCTGAGAAAGCAAGGATACTTAGCCTATGTCACACTTCTGTAGTTTTTAACAGTTGGGGTATCTAATGAACAGCATTGGAGCAAAACTGTTTCAAGCGCAAATGCCAACATCTGTTCTGCAGGTATGTCAAAGCTCAGAATGTACTTTGAGATTAATCCTTTCCCTGCACCATAAAAAAAGTCATCCAGTAGTCCATGAAAGAACAGATATTAAGTAGGAAAAACGCACACCGTAGGAAAAAAAACACTCTTAGCAGAGTTTAGCTGCCTGCGGGCAAGGGCAACATTGACATTGTGCAGCTGTGCAACCCTGGATCACAGAATCAGAATCCTTGAGGTTGGAAGGCACCTCCGGACTACCCCAATCCCTTTGCTCAAGGTAGGGTCAGTTAGAGCCAGCTGCCCAGGACTGTGTCCAGTCATGTTCTGGGTTATCTCCAAGGATGGCCCCAGTTCCAGGCCATGGGATACACCACTAGTGACCAGCCTCCAGGTGGACTTTATGCCCCTGATCACAATCCTTTGAGCCTGGCAGTTCAGGTAGTTTTCAGTCCACCACACTGTCTACTAATCTAGTCCGTACTTCATCAGATGTAATGGGAGACAGTGAGAAAAGCCTGCTGAAGTCAAGATAAACAACATTCACTGCTCTCCCCTTATCCAACAACCTAGCCAATTTGTTGTAGAAGGCTATCAGGTCAGTCAGGTATGATTTTCCCTTTGTAAATCCATGCCAACTACTTCCAATCACCATCCTGCCCTTAGTACATTTAGCAATGCTTTACGGGACTATTTGCTCAATCACCTTCCCAAGCATGAAGATCAGGCTGACCAACCCGTAATTCCCTCAATAGTCCTTTTTGCCCTTCTTGAGGACTGGAAGAAAGCAAATGTCACTCTTATCTTCAGAAGCCTCCTCCAACCATCATGACGTTTCTGAGACAATCAGGATTGGTCCCACAATGACTTTGGCCAACTACCTCAGCACTTGTGAGCATATTCCTTGGGTCCCACAGACTTGCATGTGTCCAATTTGTTCAAATGCTTGCTAACCTGATCCTCCTCTAATGAGGCTGTGTCTTCTTTGCTCCAGACTTTGCCACTTGTTTCAGGTGCTTGTGATTCCTGAAGGTAAATCTTACCGCTAAAGACCATTGTGAAGAGTTGTGTAAGAAAGAGGTGTGAGAAGCCCTTTCTGGGGCTTCCTCACCTTCACTCAAGAGCTGCATCCAAACTAAGGCACGTGTCTTTGGTTCTCACCTGGGCTATGCTGCAGCCATGCCTATGTCTGGCCACGCAACCCACTGATCCAGATCGTGACCCATTGACTTGACTTCCTTGCTTCTCTCAGATCATCACTGTAGACTTCCTAGAGACCCAGACTGTTGGCCGAACCAGGTTATTGCCACCAGATATACCCTGTTTGCCTCCTGCGGGTATTGGGGGACTGCGTCCCCACCAATGAGGGTGCTGTCTCTACCTGCCTTCTTGTCACCCCTGACTCTGAGCTTGCCTTCCCTTCAGCCTGCCCTTGCTGCTGCTCCTTGACATTTTGGGGCTTTGGTTTTTTTAATAGGGAAATAAATATTCTTTAAGTGCTGAAAGCAAGCATAAATCTCAATGAGAAGTGACAAAGTATTAAATTATATTTTCCCCACTAAAATGGAAGTGAACTTTCATACATTTCTTGCTTTCTTTTTTGCATCAGTTAACATTGCCATCTTTACATATTTTGCATTACTTTGCATTTGCAGTTAAACAACGAAGTCAGATATTACTCATTTTGGAGTGCCAGAGAGGTCAGTATTCTTTGGTCACACTTTAGGAATACAAAGGAAGATCTCTGCCCCCTTCAGAGACCTCCACATACTTTGTTGATATCTGGTTAATCACATTAACATGCTATCTATCAATACCTTGGCTTCAGCAGGGAAGTTAATTTCATTTAGAGACATGCAAGCAGAGACAGGACAGCTTTCAGCACATTATTTCTACTGTTTTGCTTCCTGGCAGAAAAACGCATCAATTTCAATAACAGGAACCTTTGCATTTGCAAACTGCATTGGAAATTACAAATATTTTTTGTCATTTTTGAAAGCAGTAATCTCTACATTACACCATGCAGCGTTCTGCAGAACAGTACGAGACACTGGAAACAGTACACAGAGCTTAACATTGTACACTGCCTCAGCTAATTAGTAAAGACAGTCACCCAAGAAACAAAGGCTTTGTCTAAGGTAGCACAAGAGAGACAGACTCCTGGACAGGTAGCAGTACATTTCTGTATATAAGAAATTCAAAAGGAATAGTCCTTCTGTTGCAGAAAATGTTCTGCCCACACCACTCCAGTGAACGTTCTGTATTATACCAAACAAAAATCAATGAAAAAGACAAGAGAAGAATCCTACCTCTACATTTATCCATTCAACTATTGCCTTAGTAAATAAGTTTAAAAACTGACAATACTGACCCATAATCACAGAATCATAATGGTTGGAAGAGACCTCAAAGATCATCAAGTCCAACCGTATACCTGATGCCACCATGCCCACTAAACCCACTAAACCATGCACTTAGAAGCGCCACATCTAAACGTTTTTTAAACACCTCCAGGGATGGTGAGCCCACCACCTCCCTGGGGAGCCCGTTTCAATGCCTAACGGCTCTTACAGTGAAGAAGTTCTTCCTAATATCCAGCCTGAACCTCCCTTGGCGCAACTTGAGACCGTTTCCTCTTGTCCTATCACTAGTTACTGGGGAGAACAGACCGACCCCCACCTCACTACACCCTCCTTTCAGGGAGTTGCAGAGGGCGTTCAGGTCTCCCCTCAACCTCCTCTTCTCCAGGCTAAACATCCCCAGCTCCCTCAGCTGCTCCCCACCAGACTTGTGCTCCAGACCCTTCACCACCTTCGTTGCTCTTCTCTGGACACGCTCCAGCACCTCAATGTCCTTCTTGTAGTGAGGGGCCCAAAACTGGACACAGCATTCAAGGTGCGGCCTCACCAGCGCGGAGTACAAAGGGATGATCACTGCCCTGGTCCTGCTGGCCATGCTATTTCTGACACAAGCCAGGATGCTGTTGGCCTTCTTGGCTGCCTGGGCACACTGCTGGCTCATGTTCCGCCGGTTGTTCACCCACACCCCC